CCGGCAACCGTTCGGCACGATTCGGGCACCGCCGCAGCGCTCTCGGCGAGACGCAGCTGCTGGAAAGAATCCCGAGGCGAGAGAACATGCATTACTTCCGAAAACCGTAGCACGTCTGCAGGCCGAGCGCGACGGGACTTGCAAGAGCAGGGCCCTCGCAGCGCTCGGGTGGCTGCTGAGGCTGGACGAGAAAGCCCTCGACTGGTACGTGGAGTCCACCAGGCGGGGATCCATTTCGATCCGATCGATCCGATTCGACATTGACGTCGCCCAGCCCGATCCGATTCGATTTTGTTGGTCCGACGATCCCTGCGGGCCGATGCTCGCATGGCGCTGCTGCGCATCTTGGGGCGGCCGATCCGATTCGATTCCGCATTCGTGACGATGCAGCCCGACCCGACGCACGTCCTGATTCGACCCGATTTGCCGATTCGATGCTGACTGATCTTGCCAGGGAGATGTTCCTTGTTGAGCTGAGGGCCCGCCAGAAGGTTCGCAGGGGCATGCTGAGGTGCGCGGACGAGTCTCTGGATCCCGAGAGCGAGGGGGAGGAGGAAGAGATATTCGGGTCGCTCATGTCCACTGGCAGGCGGGACAAGTTTGGCAGGACCATGCACATGAAAGTGTGCCACGCCAACACGGCCCGCTACAACCACCTCGTGGACCAAGGCTTCGAATCGAAGAGGAACAACAGCCTAAACAGAAACCTTCGGAGGTCCGCCAGGGGGTATGGGTCACAGATCGCGCGGACTCTCGACTAGGGGAACGAGCAATGACATAAACATAAAAACTATGAGGTCCACGCGGATTTCTCACATCGGCGCTGGACCCCCCTCCTTCGCGCGCGGAGCGCCCCAGGGGCGGCGCCGGAGGCGCCGCCAGGGCGGTCCAGCCCCGATCCGAGACATCCGCGCGGACCTCCGAGTTTTTATGCTTACGAGTGTCACTGTTCGTTCCCCTATCGAAAGCTGATGCGCACAGTGGGCACGTCAGATAAGAACCGGCGGCCTGACGGCAGGTGCCCCATGGAGGTTGGTTAGCTTCGGGGCCCACATAATCCCGGGGGGGCACCTCAGGCAGCTCAAAAAGTTCGACTACGAGCGTGCCCCTAGATGATTTAAATCGGGCATGTCCCTCTCCAGGAGGAAGATCCAAAACTAGTCAAAACATAGTCTGGGGACGAGTTCTCGACCAGTTCTGGCTATTCTCGACTGTTTCTCGACTATCCGAAGTTTCTCACCCAAGATCCGCCTGTAGGAGGACATGCCCGACCTAACCCTAGATGCCCTAGAGCACGATTTCCTGTCGCACGTGTGTGTGTGTGTGTGTGTGTGTGTGTGTGTGTGTGTGTGTATGTACGCCGGTTCCTGTCCTTCCAAGGCTGCTCCGTGACCACCAGGGGCAGGTGCCTGCCAGACCAGCAGGGCGCAGGGGCCCTGCTGCCCAGCGACTCGCCGGAGGCCTCCCTCCGGCGCAGGCGCGAGGCGGAGGTGCCGCAGGGCTCCGCAGAACGGGGCGCTCTGATGCACTGCGGCCGTGGGTCGCCTTGTTCTCCGTTCTTCGCTCTCCCCTCGGGTGGCATCTCCAGCGTCCGGCTCAGGCATGGTCTGAGCTGACGTCGAGAACGTGCCCCCACTCGCCCTCGCCCTCGTCCTCGTCCTCCCTCTTCTCCTTCTGCCCCCTCCTTCTCCAGCGATGTCCTGGCTCAGGCACTGCTTGAGTTGACGTCGGGCATGTGCCCCCACTCGCCCTCGTCCATGTCCTCGTCCTCCTTCCTCTCCTTCTGCCCCCTCCTTCTCCTCCGGCCGCCGCCTGCGGGTCTCGAGCTCCTTTTGGCCGCCTCAAGTGTGCAAGCGTGAACGAGGCGACTTTCAAGCCTCCTCGCAGTGCTGGTGGCTGACGTGGGGTGGGAGGCCGAAACAACATGTTCTAAGCGAGCCGAACATTTAGACGAAGGAAGGGGAGGGGGGGGCTGAGGTGCAGCGTATTTCTCGCACGGGTCTTGGCAATTATTGGGTGGTTTGGTTTTCATTGCGCGGCGATTTGCACGCTTCGGAGGAATATTCAAAGACTATTGTGTTTCAGAACAGCTTGCGATACCTGTTGCAGCTTGTCCCACTGCGTGCAATGAGAAGGGATGACAGTTCCAGCGATATTGACGTGATTCGTGCATGTGCGCATTCTATTGTGGAGAACTTTGCAAGGATAAATGGTTGCAGGTCCAGAGATGTTGATTTTACACGCATGTGGTCGACAGGAGTCAAATAGAGATTCGTGTGGACCTTTCCACATTTGTAGGTCCCGAGCTCGCAGACGACATAGTTGAAAACTAATCTCAAGAGGATGTAGATGATGGGTACTTCTACCGTGGATTCGGACGATTCTGCAGTCGCCGCTGTCAACGCCTTTCTTATAGGTACCACTGGTTTTGATGTCAGGGCGCAGGATAGTGATTGCTCGTTTGCTTGAAGCAGAGCCAACCGCGGAGCAGAAACACACTTTAGAGCTTGCTGGTCTATAGTTGTTACATCGTTTCATTTCGACCGCTTCGGGTCTTGCTCACGGGGCGAGTTCCAAGACGACGCAGTATGATTGCGTTTCCAATAACTTGAAGGTCTTCTTGATCCGATTGGATGTGCAATTTGCCTGTCGGAGTTCCATCAATTTGTTGACAGTGTGACAGAGCCAGGACTGCGTCTGACAGAGCATGCGCAAGTTGTTGTGCCTTGAGCGCATACTTGAATTTGGAAGGCCTTGCGGCCGGTGCTGCCGACCCCGAAGGTGGACGACGACGACGGCGGCAGCGGCATCGGCGACGGCGACGCTGACGCTCTGGAGTCCTCCTTGGAGTTCTCTCGGGGGCCTATTGGGCTCTGTTGGGGGGCCCCTTAGGGGATCTTTTGGGGAGCTCCCTGGCCACTTGGAGCCGCCTCGGAGCGAATCTGAGGTCGCTTGGAGGCATGTGGGAAAATACGCAGCACCCGGGAACAGCAGATACGAGTGATGACGTTGCCTCCGGGGGCGGGCCCAGGGAAAGGGGGGGGGGGCGACGGTGACGACGACGACGACTCCAACGGAAAAGCGCGTCACACACGCCGACAAGGTCGGCGGATTTTCGAACAGAACACAGCAGAAGGAAGTCGACATTACGATGGAAATTGTTTTTAACGAAGATGTCTGCAGTGGACCCGGCCTCACACACGACGAAGTTCATCAGTGAATGCCACAAGCATGGAGCTAGCCAACCGAGACGGGTTGAACAAGTTAGACACCTGTGATCTACAAATGGGGTGTTCGATGAGATATACCCGGAACCTCACGCTAGAGCGATGCGGTGCAAGCGCAGGATTTGCTTTGGCAGCGTTGTTCCTGATGTGCGAAAAGTATTGTTTTGTTCGCTGATGTGCTGCAGTTTCTTGCCCCTGGGCCAGCAGTTGCAGTAGAAGAATGCCGGAAACGCTTGCGTTGAGTATGACCCTGAAAATGTGATCGGAGTGTTACAAGAATTGACACGCACATCGTTCATGCAGTTGCCGAACCATTCATACAGTGTGCATACGATTGATTGACGCGCGTCGTTTTTTGCCGCTGGCAAGGCACAGACACTCGCATGCCATGCGCGCATTGGGGCGTCGGCGAAGCCACTAACGAAGTGTGGCCAGACTGCTCGTGGCGCTGCACGTATTCGGCGCGTCGCCGAAGTACCAGAAGCAGCTTCAGCTTCACTTTGCAGGGGGCACCTCCCCCCGTGATGGCTTGCGCCAGGCCGCTGCCCGTTCGTCCTTCTCGCCGGGCTTCGCTCCCTCGTCGTTGCTCTCGCGCCTCGCTCCTCCCCCGGCTCGCTCCTCGCTCCTGCTTGCCTTGCCCGATCTCGGGGCGGCGGACTTCACCATGACATCGGTTTCTTGGGCTGGCCAGGTCGGCCCGGGAAGAGGAGGAGGAGGAGGAGGAGGAGGAGGAGGAGGAGGAGGAGGAGGAGGAGGAGGAGGAGGAGGAGAGGAGGAGGAGAGGAAGAGGAGGAGGAGGAGGAGGAGGAGAGGAGGAGGAGGAGGAGGAGGAGAGGCCAAAGGGCCCACGAGGGGGGGGCTCTCCGCGCTCGGGCCACGGAGGGCTGGACCCCCCCCCCCGCCGCAGCGGGGCTCTCTCGCCGCTCTGGTGCGCGGGAGTGGGGGGCGGCGCGGCCTGGCGTTCCTGCAGCACCGGCCACTGGAGGACTTGCGCTCGTACCTCAGGCGGGGAGGAATCTACAGCGGGGGCGTTGACCTAAGGGGCCCTACATAAGGAACGGGGCCCCTCTTTTTTTTTTTTCTCCAGAAGTTGACCTTCGATGTCCGGTCGAGGACATAAGGAGAGCCTGAGGCAAGCTGTGAAACACTAAAGGAACGCGGAGCCCCTCCCCAACCAAAAGGGTTCCTTCTTCAGGGCCCCGACTGTAAGTTGCAAGCCTCGCGACGACCCCACGTCGACCCCTAGGGGTCTCGACCCATCCCCCAGGACCCGCTTTTCACCCAGAGCCCTTGTTTGTCGGTCCCTGGGCCAGGCGAGGGCCCCTGGATGCTGAAAGCAGCAAAAGCACCTTCCGCCGCGTTGCTTTCAATACCCGGGTCGGCCCCGCCTCGGCAGCCTCGAGTGGCCGCGCACCCTCTGGCACACCAGCCCCGATACGGAGGCCGCCCGAGCATCCCTCGCGGCGAAGATTCTCAGCGCTTGAGGCCTCCTCCCCCTGTTCCTCCTCGGCGGCCGCCCTCTTCTTCCCTTTGTCGTCCGTGTGTGCCCGTAGCCCCTGCGCGGCCCGCCGCCCACCCGAACGCGTTGTGCGCCCGCTTTCGCCGCTTCCGCTTCGTGCGCGGAAAGCTGTGGGTCCGCCGTCTTCGTCCTCCTCCTCGTCCTCCTCCTCGCCCCCTTCAGCATCAGCGGTATCACAGCAGCAGCAGCCGGTGTTGGGACGGTGGGTCGGTATCGTAATTGGGTCGGGTCGGCCAGTGACTTTGCCGTTTCGCTCGGGCGGGTGCGCTGCTCCTCGCCCCCTTCCTCGCCTCGGCGCGGCTCACGTCTTGGTGGTGCGAAGATGGGGTCCTGCGGGAGGGGGGCCTTAAGGACGAGGTGCCCCAAACACAATGCAAATCCATCCTTGAACCCCTTTTTCTTTCCTAAGAGCCCCATCCCACAGGATCGCATCTTTGAACCACCGATTGTCTGCCCGCGGGGGCTTTTCACTACCTGTCCATTGACTGGTCACTACATCTTTGCCCCTGCCGGTGCTCGATCCTGAAGCTCCTCGGGCTCACGGTTGGTGCCTGGCATGCCGCCGCCTGGGCCCGTGAGGCAAAACGAAACATCTGTGGGTAATAAACACACAGACAAACACAGTCTGTGGGTAAACAACACACAGTGTGTGTTTTTTTACCCACAGTGTTTTTTGCCCACGGGGCCTGCGAGGCAAAACGAAGAATCCAGCGGGCCCTCTCTCGCCCATCCTCTCGGGAACCGCCGGCTGCCCGCCCGCAGGTGCAGCGCATCCGGCAGGTGGCGGCCCGCGAGCAGCGGGGGGGCCCCGGCGCGGCCGCGCCCGCGGAGCCGCCGCCCGGCGCGCCCGCGGGGGCGCCGGGGGCCGGCGGCGCGCCGCTGGGCCCGGAGCAGCGGTGGAGGGCGATCGAGGAGCCGTCGGGGACCTCTGAGGCCCAGGCCTGGCCCACCGCCCGAGAGGCCGGGGTTGGCAAGGGGGGGTCGGGCGAAAGGGGGGGATTGGGAAAGGGGGGGTGACGAAATCTGCTGCATGCAGCTGGTTTCGGCCCCGTCGCCGGGTCCATTCCTCGATACATGGCCGCCTCCCGGCGCCAGGAGCCGTGAGGGGCCTCCGAGGCCCAGGCCTTTGCCAGCCTGGAACAGATCCCTATCCCCATGCTGGGCATCTCCTCATCACGATGCCAATCTGAGGGATTCCCTTATTGTTTGAGGGCGACTCCCTAAGACCGAGGAGCCGTGGGGGGCCTCGGAGGCCCAGGCCTGGCCCACCGCCCGAGAGGCCGAGTTTTGGCCTTGGCGTCGCTCGGACGTGTGCATTTTTCCTTCGGCGAGGGCCATCGAGGAGCATCCTTGACCATTTGGCGAAAAAGCCACGCACGGAAGCGAAAAAAACACAGGGAATGGACGTCCGAGCGATGGCCTAGGCATGGCCCACCGCCCGAGAGGCTGGGGTTGGCCTGGGCATCGCTCGGACGTGTGCATTTTTTCCTTCGGCGAGGGCCATGGAGGAGCATCCTTGACCATTTGGCGAAAAAAACGCGCACGAAAGCGAAAAAAAACACACACACACACACACAGGGAATGGACGTCCGAGCGATGGCCCAGGCCTGGCCCACCGCCCGAGAGGCTGGGGTTGGCCTGGGCATCGCTCAGACGTGTGCATTTTCCTTCGGCGAGGGCCATGGAGGAGCATCCTTGACCATTTGGCGAAAAAACCACGCACGAAAGCGAAGAAAACACAAAAAATGGACGAACGAGCGATGGCGAGTGGCAAGGGGGGGGTCGTGGCGGGGGCGGGGTTCGATGATCCTCGGAAGGCGTGCTGGCCCAGCGCGCGCGCGCGCTGTGTGTGTGTGTGTGTGTGTGTGTGTGTGCGTTCCGCCGATTAGCACCGGTCAGCTTGCGCTTCAGTATTCCTCGGGCTTCTGGCCACTGCACGTCTACGTCTGGGGTGCAGTCCCTCATGCACACCACCCACTGTTGCACTTTCGGTGTGGGACGACTTCTCCACTGTGCCTTCGAAAATGCTCGATCGTAATTCGCACTTCATCTGCTGCCCCGCCTGAGGACCCTCTGCACCGCCGACTTTTTAAATCTCTCTCTCTCTCTCTCTATATATATATATCTAGATACATGGAGATACATGTGTGTGTGTGTGTGTGCTCCCCTTTCGGCTACACGGAGCAGCCCGTGTCGGCCCTCCTTGCACGGCCAGCTCCGCATCTCAGGAGCGACAGGAGGACGTACACGTGCACGAATCCATGTAAGGTTCGAAGGTACCCGTCGCGCGAACTTTCGCAGCACGATGCTGGCCTCGCGGGCCCGGGGGCCGCATTCATGTGCGTGGCTGTGCGCGCACGTCCCTGCGTGGGCTCCATCAGGAGGGGGGTGGTGCCAGGGGGGGGGACCGACACCATGGCCGGGAGCCCGAGACCCCCCCGGGTGCAGTCGGGGCGCTGCGGAAGGAGCCCTTTTCGTTAGGGAGGGGCTCGGTGTTCCTGGATTGTTTCACAGCCTGCCCAGGGTTTTCCGTTTGCTGTCGGTGGGACGCCGAAACTTCTCATTTATGGAGAAAAGGGGCCTCGTCCTAATTCAGGGTTCTTTAAGGCAACGCCTCGACGTCAAGCAGTGGCGAAGCGTCCTGGCTCGCCTATAGCCCTACCAAACAATGTTCTAAGAACCTTTGTGGTTTCCACGAAATGTTCTTAGAACATTTCTGGCTAGTGGAAAGCGCAAGTGATCGGATTGTGAGAATGGAATCAGTATGCGTGAACCTCGGCATGTGATGAACGCAAATGCGTGTGTCGTTTTGAGGGCCCAGTCAACACCTCATGCAAGAGAGAGTAAAGGTCAGTATACATGGCGATAGGCATGTCCAGAAAGCAAACCCGCCTTTTAGAATGAAAATTCAACCATATCATCGTGCGAATAAGTCGCCGGCCCAACGGGCTAGAGGCGTGCTAAGATCTCCAGTGGCTGCTTTACAATCTTTCAAATTCGCGCGCGCGGGGCAGCCCCTGGGGGTTCCCGGACCAAAAGTACCCCGGGCGCGGCCCGAGAGCTGTCCGAGAGCTGCCCGAGAGCTGCCCGAGACACCCCCCCAGGGCCCTCAGGATCGCCCCAAGGGGGCGCCAAGAGGCCCCCAACACGGTCCAAGACGGGCCCCAGACGCCCGAAGACCGCTCCACGACGCCCCAAATGCCCTCCAGACGGCCCAGGAGGCGTCCAAGATGGCCCAAGAGGCTTCCAAGAGGCCTCCAAGAGCACTCTCAAGAGGGCCCCAAGAAGTCAAATTCATTGCTTTTTCCATCGGTATTGGGTAGATTTTGGCGTTTATGCAATTTCGGCTTCCCGCCGCCCCAAGACGACTCAAGAGGCGTCCAAAGTCGCCCCAAGAGGACCCAAGAGCCCTCCAAGTGCGCTCCAAGACGGCTCCAAGACAGTCCACGAGGCCTCCAAGATGGCCCAAGAAGGCCCCAATAACGCCCCAAGAGAGGCCCCATAGGGGGAACACGACACAAAACTTCGAGCCCTCGGCCCTAAGAGGCCCCTACGAGACCCCAAGAGGCCTCCAAGAGGACCCAAGAGGCCCCCAAGAGGCCCTCAGGAGGTCCCCGAGAAGGCCCCAAGAGGCCGCGAAGCGGCTTCAGGAGCAGAAGGAGCGAAAAATACGAGGAGGAGGAGGCTGAGAGGAGAAGGAGCAGATAGTATACAGAGAAGGGGGAGGAACAGGAGGATAACGGTAAAGAGAAGGAGGGAGACGGGAGAAGAAGGATGGAGGAACAGAAATATTGGAAGGCTTCTGGGGGTATCATTGAAGCTCAGTGTTGGGAGCCCTGGTGTAATGTAGCGTTGTGGGGCCTCTTGGGAGTCTTCTTGGGGCCCTTTTGGATCCCTTTTAGGGCCCTGTTGGAGTTCTCTTGGGTCGTTTCGGGGCCCTTTTTGGCCGTCTTGGGGCGTCTTGGGGGCCTTTGGTCGTCGTGGGGCTCTCCTGGCGGCGTCTTGGAGCCCTCTAGGGTGCCTCTTTGGTCGCTCTTGGGGCTCTCTTGGGCCCGTCTTGGAGCCCTCTTGGGCTGTCTTGGGACTCTCTTGGATCGTTTTCGGGCTCTTTGGGGGGCCTCTTGGGCTATCTTGGGGCGATCTTTGGAGCCTCTTGGGCCGGTTCGGGCTGATGTTGGCCCGAAAAAGGGAGAACCAGAAGAACCTCTGAAAACCATACAAAAATCAACGCACTTTCCCTCTTGGGGCCCTCTTGGGAAGCCTCTTGGAGGCCTCTTGGGGCGGCCCGGGGCCCCCTTGGACGGTCTTGGGCGGTCTTGGGGTCTCTTGGAGCGCTCTTGGGCTGTCTTGGAGCGCTCGTGGACCCTTCTTGGGAGTATCTCGGGCCGTCTGGGGCGCCTCTGGGACCGCCCGAACATCTCGGAGAAGGCCGAAACTCGTTTGGGGAGGGGGGCTCCGTCCGGGGTTCGTCTGGTGTCCCGGGCCCTATAAAAGTATATACGTAGGAATTTATGTACATTTTCCTATATGTAGTTGTATGATATATACAAACATGCATACATACATACATGCATCCATACATACATACATACATACATACATACATACATACATACACACATACATGCATACATACACACATACATACATGCATACATACATACGTGCATGCATGCATGCATGCATACATACATACATGCATACATGCACACATGCATACATGCATACATGCACACATGCATACATGCATACATGCATACATGCATACATGCCTACATGCATACATGCATACATGCATACATGCATACATGCATACATGCATACATGCATACATGCATACATTCATGCATGCATACATGCATACATGCATACATGCATACATGCATACATGCATATATGCATACATGCATACATGCATGCATACATGCATACATGCATACATGCATACATGCATACATGCATACATGCATACATGCATACATGCATACATGCATACATGCATACATGCATACATGCATACATGCATACATGCATACATACATACATACATACATACATACATGCATACATACATACATACATACATACATACACACCTACATGTGTGTATATACGAAAGATGCATGCGTGCACACGGACGTACCACCACGATACCTGGTCAGTGTCACCCTCTTCACTTGGACGGTGTACTGACCCTCTTGGTCTCGCCGAGGATGGCGCATACACCGTGCAGGGGCCCAGGAGGGGCCTCGAAGACAGCAGAGCACGGCATCAACGTCAGCTTTCGAGCGTCCGCTTGGATCGGCGCTGGGGCGGCGCCTCCCGCGCCGCTCCAGGCGCGCTTCGCCTCCTCCTCCTCCTCTTCCTCCTCCTCCTCCTCCTCCTCTCCTCCTCCTCCTCCTCCTCCTCCTCCTCCTCCTCCTCCTCCTCCTCCTCCTCCGCTCCAGGCGCGCTTCGCGCGCCTGGGAAAGGGCATGGGGGACCCAGCGCTGTTCGGAGAAGTCCAGATGCGACCAGAGACGCTGTTCTTGAATCGGACCATCGGATCACCAGATCTGTGAGCTACTCAAGAGGATCAACCGCCGGATCAGCTGGCCGGGTCACCGCGTCACCGGATCAGCCGGATCAACAGATCAGCCAGCCGGATCGCTCATGCAGATCGCAAGACCAGCCTGATCGCCAGATTCCCGGATCAGACAGCCAGATCACCAGAGCAGCCAGACCACCCGATCACGATCAGCCGACCCGATCACCGACCAGATCAGCCCCAGCGTGGGGTGTTTGTGGCCCCCCAGGACCACGAGGCCAGGTGGCACTTCCTCGAGACCACGTGCTTCTTCGGGCACAACATCGGCTTCAGGAAGATCAAAAAGCTGTACGCCAGGGACGAGGTTCTATCGGTGCCAGGAATATGGCCACTGAATTGTGTTTTCTTTGTCACCACTTAGTGGCAAATGGCGGCCATTACACAGTGTATATATTTTTGTGTCCAACACCTGTCGCCCAGAGAACTGGCTGGAGAAATATACATCATACGTTGCTTTGTGGCATCTCTGCGAACGCCCTCGGGGCAGGCCCCAGATACCTAAGTGTATATACGCGCGGTTCCCATTCCAGATGTTGCCCGAGTAGATGGGGTCAGAGGATCGCGCCGCATCGGCGATGCATCGACGATGCGCTTCGATGTTGGGCCCGAGTTTCTGCCCGCCGACGGCGCCGATGCACTGCCGACGTCGCCGACGTCGCCAATGCATCGGCGATGCCGCGCGGTCCCCCGACCCCATGTACGGTAGATTCGTGTCGTGTGGACAGGCGGCGACGCCGCCGCTGGCGTTCAGTGTGGAGTGCCGCTGTTGCCCCAGAAACGGTCGATGCTGAGCGGTCCGACGTCTCGGCGATGGTCACCGCCCACCAAACCACCCCAACCCAACCCGAAGGCCTCAATTTGCCCTCCATTTCCAGTGGGGGGGGGGGTCGGGGAACATTGAAAAAACACGGATGGAACCCTTACCCCCCCAACCCGAAATTCGGGTCTTCGGGTTGGGTTGGAGTGCTTCAGTAGGTAGTCCAATGGCCGATCGTTCGAGGCTGAATGATCCCCGCGGCGTCAGGAGCCTTACTGCTCACGGAGCCACCCCGGCCCGGCCCGACGGTCCCAGGCACTCCCAGCTGTCGGGGAGGTTCCTTGCCCCTGGACGGGCCTCCTCTCTTCTCGTCTCGCGTCTTGCCCGCTTTTCCTCATCCTTTCTAGAACAAAAAAAGAATGTCGGCTTGGGGAGGGTGTGCGGGTCCCGCTGTGTTCTCCCGATACTCCAGAACGTCCCCCCCCGCTGGAACCTGGCAGGCCCATCGGCGACTTCGGGTTGGCTTGGGGGCTGCTTGGCGGGTGCAGTGCCGTTTTTAACACATGCTCCGCGTGCGGATAATGTATCAAACATGCAGGGATTTAGTGCTAAAAACAACGATGAGTTCATGCATAAATCTATTCGTGAAGCAATCATGTATTACAATCCGATATATAAAAACATCAGGTGTATTAGAAACTGCCCTGTAGTCAGAGCCAGCGCCGAAGCCGGCACGACACGAGCCTTGCCGCACTCGGACTCCATTCGGGGGGCCTCGAGAGGTGCTCGCGAGCCAGGCCCGGGGCGGCGAGGCCGCGCCCGCCCTGGCCGACGGCCCTGCCGCCCCCCGGGGCGACGGCCTCGGCTTCGGCGACACGAAGGAGAGCGTTTGCTTATTTTTTGGGTTATACAGCGCGTCATGCCCTCCCCTTCCCCTCCTCCTCCTCCTCCTCCCTCCTCCTCCTCCTCCTCCTCCTCCTCCTCTTCCTCCTCCTCCTCCTCCTCCTCCTCCTCCTCCTCCTCCTCCTCCTCCTCCTCCTCCTCCTCCTCCCCCTCCTCCCCACCCCCAGGCCGTCCCGGGCACTGCCGCAGTGCGTCTGGCACCGCAGCCTTTGACGGTGGGCGCCCCCCCCCTCCGCAACCCTCCCCTTCCCTACTGCTGGAACATGTCCACATCCACCGGTTCGGCGTCGTGCCCGGAGGAGGAGGAGGAGGAGGAGGAGGAGGAGGAGGAGGAGGAGGAGGAGGAGGAGGAGGAGGAGGAGGAGGAGGAGGAGGAGGAGGAGGAGGAGGAGGAGGAGGAGAGGAGGAGGAGGAGGAGGAGGAGGAGGAGGAGGAGGAGGAGGAGGAGGAGGAGGAGGAGGAGGAGGAGGAGGGGGAGACCTCGTGGAGCGGTGGAGGTGGATGTCTGCCCGCCCGCGTGGGCGGGCGTAGATGCCCAGGTCCGCCGCCCCCCTGGGTCCTCGGGACACGGCCCAGCGGCAGCGGATATATGGTCATGTGCTGGCGGCGCGCCCTGCCCCTCCCAGAACTCAGGAGGGGGCAAAAACACACAGACACCATCAATCGTCGATTCCCCAGAAAATGTGGAACATATGGGAAGTGGTGGGGGAGACAAAATCCGAGAAAATATGGGGAATTCTTTTAGTTGTGTGTATTTATTTGTGTGTCCCAGTGCCATTTCAATAACGCCCGTGATCGCTGCGAGAATAAGCATGTGCTCCAGTACCTGCGGAAGTACACGGTGGGCGGCGCGAACTACGTCACCCACGAGGTGCGGGGCCGCCCACGGCCGCCGGGGGAGTGCACGGCAGCTCCAGTTCCCATGTTTGCGGTAGCCTCGGCGGGGCGAGCCATCGGACGACAGGGTGCCGATGCCGTTGCCCGTCTCTCGTCGCCACGGCTGAGTTTTCGCCGCGAACTTTCGGTCAGAGCGCGCCCCCGGAGGTCTTTGGAGAGCCTCGGCGGGGCGGGCTATCGGACGACAGGGTGCCGATGCCGCTGCCCGTCTCTCGTCGCCACGGCGGAACTTCCGCCCCGAATTTCTCGGTCAGAGCGCGCCCCCGGAGGTCTTTGGAGAGCCTCGGCGGGGCGAGCTATCGAGCGACAGGGTGCCGATGCCGCTGCCCGTCTCTCGTCGCCACGGCTGGATTTTCGCGCCGAAATCTCGGTCAGAGCGCGCCCCCGGAGGTCTTTGGGAGAGCCTCGGCGGGGCGAGCCATCGGACGACAGGGTGCCGATGCCGCTGCCCCTTCTCTCGTCGCCATGGCTGCATTTTCGCCGCGAAATCTCGGTCAGAGCGCGCCCCTGGAGGTCCTTGGAGTAGCGGTACCGGTATTTTTGTTGCCCCCCCCCCCCCCCCAGGATATACGATGGTGGGGCGTCCATCCTTGATGGGTCAGCCACGCGCAGAAGGGGTAATTAGGGGGGGGAGAGCCTCTCAGAAGAACCTCTGCCTCTCAGAGGGCGCATGCCTTGTCCATAGAGGCAGGGCCTTCGGAGAAACAGCAAGCAGCCTCCTTCCAAGAAGCCTTCCCCCCTCCTCCCACCCTTAAGTCGGGCATGTCCACCTACAGGAGGAACGTTCAGACATAGTTACAACATAGTGTGGGGACGATTTTTTTCAATAATTGTTAGATCTGTTTTGGCTCTTCTTTCACTTTTCTCTACGATCCGCCTGTAGGACCTCGTGCGCGCCGCCAGATGCGGGTGCGTCCGAGTTCGAGGGAGGAAAAACCACCCGGACCCGACCATTGGCGCTCACTAAACGGCCCTGGGCGTTCACTAAACAGCCCTGCCCTGCTTGATTCCTTCTTTGAGCGCGTTTGCTAGACGGCCTCGCGTGTCGGACCGAGAGGACAGAGGAGGACCGAGAGGAGGATCGATGGGAAGGGGATCGAGGGGAAGGGGATCGAGGGGAAGGGGATCGAGGGGGATCGAGGGGGAGGGGATCGAGGGGGATCGAGGAGGATCGACGAGGAGCAGGGTGGTGACTATCGGGGTGCGTTGTCTGCCCTCTGCGAGCGGCCCCGCGGGGGCGGCGTCGACCCCGAAGTTTCCCCTCGTGGGCCGCGCGGCCCGCTTCTCGGAGGGCAGCCTCGGGGACTTCGGGGGGGCGAGGCCTCGCCTGCGACACAGCTTCGGCCTCCTCGGCCAGGCCAGCAGGGCTCAATTCGACTGATCCGATCTGTTGATTCGATCTTCGATTCGATTCCGTTTTCGATCCGATTCGGTTTCGACCTGGTTTTCGATTCGATTCGACTGGATTCGATTTGATCCGACTTCGATTCGATTTCGATTCGATTCGATTCGATGCGGCAGGTTAGCAGGGCGTATTTCGATTCGATTCGATTCCATTTCGATGGCTTTCGATTCAGATATGGTCCGATCGGACAGACCTCGTCCAGGCGGTCCTGCCATTCGATGCGAGGAGCCTCCAATTTCTATGCCGAGTGGACGCCTGCTCGTTCGCCATTCATGAGGGAATGCTGCTTGATTTGTTTCTGGTGCTTGCATTCAGCGGGCTTGCTGACCTAATTTCATGCCTTGGTACGAGTGCGCTGGGCACTGGGTAGCACCGCCATGCCGAATAACAAGACAACACATAGCCTCATACATTTTTGCGCCGTGTAATGATGCGCCCCGCGCTGGTCCACTCGGCTCGGCTCCACCTTTACGGTCGTCCCCATCGGCGTTTCGGCTGTCGTGGCCTCGCGGGTGCTCTCGTTCGAAGAAGTCAAACGCGCTTAAACGTAAACTTCGTAGATCCGCGCGGAGTTCTTGGATCGGCGCTGTGCCCCCTCTGGCGGCGCCTCCGGCGCCGCCCTTGGCACGCTCCGCGCGCCGCGGATGTGGGCCCCACCGCCGTTCCAAGAAATCCGCGCGGACCGTGCGAAGTTTATGTTTGCGCCGACTTGTCTTCTTTTGGTCGCCCTCCCCGCTCAGGCGGACCCGATCTTCCAGGAGCCAGTCGAGAACTTCCTGGGCTTCCTGAGCGGCGACCGGGACGAGACCATCACGCTTCCCTTCTATGCGCTGCCCTTTCCAAGCTGCTTCCAGGCGGTGGCACTGAAGGACTACGTCAAGGGAAGGACACTGGCGCTGGACCTGGAGGGGGACTTCGACGAGCACGTCCAGAAGCAGGTGTCGGACTTTTCCATTCCCTCCGGCAACATATTCGCTGGGCTGACGCCACCCATCCGAAGGACAATTCTTGGTTGGGAGAGTGGGAGTGGGAGAAAGTTGCATACCATCAATACTACTGCGTATGTGGACGGTACTTCTTACACAGTCGTACCTTGCATCTTCTCAACCCCTTCCTCCCAACACGATGAGCGGGGCTTTCTCAGCACGCGCCGGCCCCGTGGCCCCACCGTGCCTCTCGGCTCGCCCCTCGAGCTCGCGAGCCCGAGCCCCCGGCGGGGAGGGGCCCCAGTCGTCTGACGGCCCGATTTGTGTGAGCCGCCGCTCCCTGGAGTTCTCGGCCCCTTCTTGTCCTTTCCCGCCCTCGAAGAAGGAAAAACTATATAATCCCAGGCCTAGAGGTTGACACCAACACCACTATCGGCGGTGTTCCTCCACCGAGGGAGTGGGGACCCCGATCTCGATGATTGTGGTAATATTCTGGCTTCCAAGGAGCCGAACTATTACCACCAACACCGAAATCTAGGATCATCTCCCCCCCGTGGAGGCAGCTCCCTGTCTTGGTGTTTCCAGAAGGAGGAGGAGGAGGAGGAGGAGGAGGAGGAGGAGGAGGAAGAGGAGGAGGAGGAGGAGAGGAGGAGAGGCCATGGGCTCTTCCAGCCCAGCTCTCCTCCTCCTCTCTCCTCGTCCTCCTCCTCCTCCTCCTCCTCCTCCTCCTCCTCCTCCTCCTCCTCCTCCTCCATGGGTCGAGGCGGGTCCTCCTCCTCTCCCCCCTCCCCGACCAGTCCCGTAGGACCCCCGGGAGTCTCGAACCCTTCCCCTTCCAGGGCCGTTTTTCGATGACCCTGGGGCCCGGCGAGGGCCCCCACAGGCCGAAAACCGCAGAAACTGCAAACACTCCCGTCGAAATCCCGCACGCCCCATGTGGACCCTGCTACTTGGGCCTTCGGTGGAGCTCCCTGTGGGGCCACGAACCGCGTGAGGGATACGGGAGGAGGGAGGAGGGGGAGGAGGAACGAGGAGAGGAGAGGAGACGTGGGGCGCTGTCTGTTCAAAACGAGGACCCAACACCGCAGTATGGCTGGGAACAAGAAGCTCCCGTCGAGATCCCTCACGCCCTGGTGGACCCCCCAGGAGAGGTGGCCGGCGGGTTCCTGAACGACCCGAGCTCCTACAACCGTGCCAGCGCCTCTGTGAGCGCGCCCGTCAGGCTGCGCGCGCCCTGAGCGGGTCACGGCCACCCCCCTCTTGTCCTCCGCCTCGTCCTCGCCCTCGCCCTCGCCCTCGTCGTCGTCGTCTCGCCTGCGGGCAAGATGTTTCTCCACATCCACTGCGTCTTGGAGTCTCGGGCTCCCTTCCTCCGATACCAGAGGCGCCGTGGATATGGACACAGCAAGTTCGCCCTAGCGGTCAGACTTTTATCCATATCCACTGCGCCGCAGCCTGTTGGCGCCCCTTCCCAGAAAGTCCAAGACGGAGTGGATATGGATACGTATCGTGCCCGCATCGCCCTCGTCGTCGTCGTCGTCCTCCTCCCCCTGCTTCTCCCGTAGAAGAACAGTTGTACAGACATCAACTTCTGGGGGTCCGCGCGGAGTTCCGACATGTTATGGTTTCTCAGTTGTTGTTTTTTGCTCTATTCTTGAGGCTGCAACTGCTTTCCCCCTCCCCTCCCGCCTTTGGAAACCGTCTTGCGGCTGCTGCTGATCCACCCTGCCTCCCGCCCTCCCTCCCACCCTCCCACCTCAATAAGAACGCGCTTTGCTGTGGCATTCATGTATGGAGAATGGCACCTTCCAGATTCGACGCTGATCCAGCGAGCCTCGGGAGGGAGGGGGGAGGGGGGTCTCCTCGCCCCTCGCTCTTCCCCCTCATTCCTTCTGCCCTCCCCCCTGGCCAAGTCGGGACTCCCTCTGGCATCGCTCGGACGTGTGCATTTTTTCTTCGGCGAGGCCCATCGAGGAGCATCCTTGATCATTTGGCGAAAAAGCCACGCACGAAACAGAAAAAAACACAGGGAATGGACGTCCGAGCGATGGCCAGTCCCCTCCCCCAGTCCCACGGTGGGGCCTGGCCACCACCGTGGTCTTGGGGGTGGGCCACCAGACCAGGCCCCACCACAGTGAGTTGGCACCTCCACCTCCTCCTCCTCCTCCTCCTCCTCCTGCTCCTCCTCCTCCTCCTGCTCCTCCTCCTCCTCCTCCTCTCCTCCTCCTCCTCCTCCTCCTCCTCCTCCTCCTCCTCCTCCTCCTCCTCCTCCTCCTCCTCCTCCTCCTCCTCCTCCTCCTCCTCCTCCTCCCCCACAAGCCAGTCGGTCCAATAAACACTCTCCATGCCACTCCCCCCGACGGCCCGCTTCAGCCCCGCCCCCATGCGCGCCGATCCCACCACCTCGCGCGAGTCAACCGCCCTAGGCCCAGCGACTGACAGCCCCTGCCGCGCGGTCCACCCGCCACGCTTGATTATTGCAGCCAGCCAGTGTATCCTCGTTCCCTGCTCTGGGGTTGCACCCGTGCTAAGCCTGTGCGCAGGGCCTGGGTGGCCGTGTCTGGCGCGGCCCTCGGGGTCGCCTGGGGGTCCTGGCGTCCTTGACCCTGGTATTATGCTTTGGGTGCGTTGGCACAGAGCTCTTTCGCTTGCCTTTGCCTTGGATGTCCTCGAGCCCCGCTCGGATGCCTGGGGTGACCACGGCGTGTCTGGCCTGGCCCGCAGTGGCTGCGGTACGCACCGGGGCTTCTTCGGCTACGACTTCATTTCGGCGGGATGGCGATGGGGGGATCAGGACATGGGGGGATGAGTATCCGGTACCGTTTTGTTGGGGTGCAATTTGTACAATTTGTACCTTGTCTGCGTGGCGTCGGTATAAATTGTACCTTCTCCGTGGGGCGTAGGTACAATTTGTACCTCGGTTGCGCCTCTCTCGCCCCCTGGACTTACCCCCCCATTTGCATCCCGCCAATCATTCCTGATCCCCGATCGGGTGTGGCCCACTTTGTCCGACTCTTGACGAGGGCCTGAGGAGGCCAGCGCAGCCCATTCTATGCCTGGCGTTGCCCTGTTTCGATGCCATTGCCATGGCGTGGTGTGCTATGCACTGCTAGTGTTACGCCGTACTCCACGCTTTGCCATGCTATAGAGTGCCATGTTTTGCGATGCTTTGGAATGCCATGCCGTATTTCGATATGCAATATGTTGCTATTCGATGCCGTGCAATGCTTGGCAGGGCGACGCTATGCCGTGATATGCTAAACTGTACACTTGCCCTCCCCAGCTCATTCTGCTGCTGCTTCTCCTCCCTCTTCCCCTTCCTCTTGCTCCCCTTCCTTCTCCTTCTGATGCTGACCCTCCTGCTTCTCCTTCTGTCTCCCCCTCCGCTTCTATACCCTCACCTCCTTCCCTGCTGACCCTCGTATCCCCACTCCTTTTCCGAATCCACCAGTGGTATATACTCTGATTATTCCACCCAGCTGGCCGGATGCAACTCAATCTGGGACGTCCATCTTGTATGCAATCAATTACCCTGTGACGTACCCAACCCACTGGCAGTAAGTGACAAGAGGAGTTGGCCCGTACTACTACGGCTGATGACAGCACATGAACCGCAGTATGTTAAGCAAGTTCATGAGACGCGCGCGCGTACAATAGAAGGACGAGGAGTGCGTCCCAAAGCTCGAAGAGAAATTGTGGGTTAGAACGAGGGGCATGAGAAGGACGGACGATGAGACGGTTGAAGGAGGAAGAGGATGACAACGAAGGAGCAGGTTGAAAAAGGAGGGTGGCGATTATTTTCCAGTGGCATGCTGGATAAGCAGCGCGGCCGGCGCCGTGTCGCTGTGGTGCTCCAACTGAGTAGCTGTTCGTAGGTAGTGCAAGAAACGATCGAGGCTTAGCTCGCCCGCCCGCTGGTCCGACCCCGCTCTGCACCCTGCAGTGCGGGAGCTGAACGTCCGCAGGCGCGCCGCCAGGTCTGCGGGCGGCCCGCGGGGAAGAAAACCAAGGGGGGGCTCGTATAATCAGCAGGTTGTCCACTGTCGTCGCCCTGGTCAGCACCGCTTACAGATGCAGGCAGACGGCGTCCAGGTCCTCCGCGTCCTTGCACCCGGCGTCGACAATGACTCCGTGTTGCAACGGTCTGGTCGTGGTATCTCCCAGCGACGGCGAGGTCTCAGCGGATCTGAATAAGGCGTCATTCCGGTGGACCCCCTGCAGCCCTCGAAAGTGGCGACAGTCTCGCAGCTCGCAGCCCCAAGCGACGGCGAGGTTTCATTTGATCTGGGTAAGACGTCGCTGTGATGGACCCCCCCAAGCAGCATTCGAAAGTGGCAACATCCTCACAGCTCGCAGCCACCTGCGACGGCGGGGCCTCGTCTCATTTGAATAACATGTCGCTCTGCTGGACCTCCAGCAGCCTCTGAAAGTGGCGACCGTTTCGCTCGTAATCCCCAGCGACGGCGAGGTCTCATCTGATCTGAATAGTACGTCGCTACGCTGGACTTCCCAGCAAGCTTTGAAGGTGGCGACAGTTTCGCAGCCCGCAGTTCCCTGCGACGGCAAGGTTTCGTCTGATTTGAACAAGGCGTCATTACGTTGGACCCTCCAGCAGCCTTTGAAAGTGGCGGCAGTTTCGCTGTTCGCAGCCCCAAGCGACGGCGAGAGGTTTCATCTGACACGGATAAGACGTCATTCCGCTGCGCCTTCCACCAGTTTTCGAACGTGGCGACAGCTTTGCAGCTCGCAGCCCCCCAGCGAGGGCGAGATCGAATCTGATTTGATAAGACGTCAGTCCGCTGGACCACCCAGCAGCCCTCGAACGTGGCGGGAATTTCGCACTTCGCAGCGCCATCGCCTTGTTTTTCCTTGCGAGTTGAGCCCCCGCTTCGGTGCGTCGCGGCTTTTTCATTAGCCAACCCGTCGAAACTTGCCCAGGCAAAACTGTCGCTGTCACTTAGGCGCCGGGCATGTGTCGCCTGAAAGTGGTGCCCCCCTTTTCTGGCGCGGCGCAGCACTGTCTCTCGCAAAGTTGTTGGGGTTTCGGCCGCGCGCGAGCGAACGACGTTTCGCCCTCGCCCTGTCTCTGGGCGCATGTCGCGTGGTAGTGGCGTTCCCGCGCGGGCGCGGCACGTGTTCCGTGCAGCGCCTCGGCGGGGCCGCGCGAGAGAGCGGGCGACGTGCTGCCCTCGCCCGAGCGCGCCGCGCAGCCTGGTGCCTGCAGGCGGCCGTGCTGTTTTCGGCGAGAGGCGCACGCTTTTCGGGATCGCCGCGCGCATCTCGGGAGTTCGGCCGGCCGTCGGAGGGCCGGCGGTGGGCTCTCTCGCCGCGGCGCCGCGCCGGCGCACCCTGGGGAGGAGAAGAGAGGGGAGGAGGAGGAGGAGGAGGA